CTCCAAATATTTCCTCATATAATATTTTCCCTCAAATGGACCAAATTCAGGAAAAGAAAACGACTAAATCCACTTTTCGTAACATTTCAAAAAATGTCTACTTTATTCCATCAGTGTCTCATCTACAAAAGCCCTATGATAACCACTACGGAACAAAAGTATGAAGCACGTAAACTCTAAACAAGTATGCGTAGTCGGCCATTTTCTGGTCATTTTCTTTATTGTTTAACCATCGGCAGCTTAATTAAAATTAAATTTCGCGCGCACTCTACATTTAAATCCCGGATGTGTCGCGGCATTCTGCGCGATGCACTATCACGTTCTATAGCGCATGCTCTGAAGACATTTTAGTGCACAGGAACCCTGGGTACTAGAGTGAATCCGAATACCATCGGATGCGTGTGGACTTGAATACCTAAGTGTGGACGGGGAAATTTTTGAAACCAGAAAGAAAAAGTTGCGGATTCAAAAATATCCGGATACGTGCGGACGGGGTCTTAGTCATCCGTAATTGACGCTTTTGCTTTCCACATGACCTTTCTGTTGTTTTACATCTGCTGTTTGTGTTTCTTTGAGCAGTCCCACAAGGTTTTTGCTTTGGCCATGAGTGTAATTGGCATTTTTATTGTCCTCATGACAATTTGTTATTTTCCATATGCTGTTTGTATTTTTTAAGCGTTCCTAAAAGGTTTCCGCTTTGGTCATGAGCGTTATTGGCGTTTTCGTTTTCCTGATGACCTTTTTTTATTTTGCATATGCTGTTTGTATTTCTTTGGGCGGTCCTTTAAGGTTTCCGCTCTGGTTATGTGACTGTTGTTTTTCTGTGTTGCAGTGGTCCCNCGTAAGGTTTGAGATCACCGCAACACCGCAAGTTGAGATTTTATTCACCGCATCACCGCATTAAAAAAACATCAACACCGCAACACCGCAAATTCCCATGTCCCCATCTTTATTCCATCAATGTCTCATCTACAAAAGCCCTATGATAACCACTACGGAACAAAAGTATGAAGTACGTAAACTCTAAACAAGTATGGGTAGTCGGCCATTTTCTGGTCATTTTCTTTATTGTTTAACCATCGGCAGCCTAATTAAAATTAAATTTCGCGCGCACTCTGCATTTAAATCCCGGATGTGTCGCGGCATTCTGCACGATGCACTATCGCGCTCTATGGCGCATGCTCTGAAGAAATTTTAGTGCACAGGAACCCTGGGTACTAGAGTGAATCTAAATACCATCGGATGCGTGTGGACTTGAACACCCTAAGTGTGGACGGGGAAACTTTTGAAACCAGAAAGAAAAAGTTGCGGATTCAAAAATATCCGGATACTTGCGGACGGGACCTTAGTCATCCGTAATTGGCGCTTTTGCTTTCCTCATGACCTTTCTGTTGTTTTGCATCTGTTGTTTGTATTTCTTTGGGCAGTCCCACAAGGTTTTTGCTTTGGTCCTGAGTGTAATTGGCATTTTTGTTGTCCTCATGACTATTTGTTATTTTTCATATGCTGTTTGTATTTTTTACGCGGTCCTAAAAGGTTTCCGCTTTGGTCATGAGTGTTATTGGCGTTTTTGTTTTCCTGATGACCTTGTTTTATTTTGCATATGCTGTTTGTATTTCTTTGGGCGGTCCTTTAAGGTTTCCGCTCTGGTTATGTGACTGTTGTTTTTCTGTGTTGCAGTGGTCCCGAGAGGAAAGGTTTTCACTCTTATTATGGTAGTTTTCACTATTATTTTTTCCTCGTGACCACGTCATCCTTTGCATATCGTTTGCAGTTTCGATTTCATTTGGGCGACCCCAAAAGGTTTTCGCTAAGTTCCGGCTGTTTTGTGTTTTTCAAGGGTTTAATTTTTTGCTGCCGCTGATTCATTTTCATGTTCTATTATTTTGACTTATTGTTTCTTTGCGGTCTCTGGAGTTGGTATTTACGTAACAGCGCACCTGTCGTTTTATGCGCGTATGCGTTTGCATCGGCGCTTTTTTGTCAATCGCTTTTATTAGTAAACTTTTGATTTTGTTTTGCCAAGGTGTTTCTGTTTTCTCTCCGCCTCGCTGTTTCCTATCTTCTTCTTTCCCGCTCTGGGATAGAAGTTTTATAAGGGAGTCTTATTCCTCTCGGACTACTGAGGCATAAAACTGCCTTCCCTTGAGCCGCTCTTACTTCCGTTCACGGTTTTCTTTGTCTCTTTTTGCAGCTACTACCCCCTCCCTCCCCCTCCTGCGTGTCAGCTTTTTGTTCGGCGTTGGTATTGTCTTGGTATTCCTCTTTGCGCGGCTCAAAGGCTGGCGTCTCATAACAATACCCGCATTCTCGGCGACTTCCTGCGCTCAGTCTCATGGTTTTACACATTTTTATCTACACTTAGTTAAGTCGTTAAAAAATCGTGAGATATCACACAACTATAGAAATCTCAATAAAAACAACACAAAGGGATATCACAAAATAAATAATAAAAAATAAATCTAAATAAAACTAATACAATGGGTTTTTTTAACCGTCGTTTCCTCGCTGGCCTTTTTAGACCCGGAGTGTTCTGCAGCAGGCAGTCTCCCCTTCTCTCCGCAGGGTAGTGGCTTGTATTGGCCTGTTCTATCCTCCACGGACGAATCTCGTCTTAAGTGTTTTCTCAAACAAGCAAATATCTGCGAGGGAGAAACTTTTCACAGATTCAGAACTGGTTGCGCGTAAATCTTTTCTTTTCTAGGCTCGTCTCTCGCGGAGAGCAGGTCCCACGCTGGATGGAGAAACTCTACAGTAGTATCCTATTATATGAAGCTGGCTAATGTGTTGTGGGCAAAGGCCCCTGCTGATGCTCTTGCGACAGTTGTTTTTTCAGTGTCAAATCTTTGAAGGTTTACCACGATTTTAATTACTTAAGGATTTGGTTCTAGCTCTCACTCCGCCATCCCACCTCGAAAACTCCAGGCTGCTTTGATTTCGTTGTAAAGTAAAAAATTCATTATCTTTTTTCTTTTAGTGTGGGGCTCGGACTTTAGTTTGGGGTTTTCTTCCTCCCCAAGGGTTTCTTTGTTTTTGCGTTTTGGGTGTGCGTACTTTCCTTCGTTATGCCTCAGTGCATTTTTTATTAGTATATACCACACAAGTGAATAGTACTTTTCGCGCACGCTGATTGGCTAACTCGGAGGTGATTAGCCAAGTACTATTCACCTCCGAGCTGCTGAAGAAAAACAAAATGGCTTCCCGTTTCAAATAAAGTTACTCTTAAACAAATAAAGTTACTCTTTGGTCGCCAGTTATTCAGCTTGTGTGGTATATACTAAAACGATTATTCACCTCAGTGTTGGTGAAAGTGGTGGATATTTACCTCCACTTCGGTGAATAATTGTTAATTATTTCTAGTTGTCAGATGGCAAAGGTTCTCAAATTTCTTGTCTGACTATGTACGCATTGCGTACCTATTTTATACAAGTTATAACCTCCTGCGCATGAGTATAGACTACTTGGAGCCTCTTGTTTAAAAGAACCACAAACCTTTGCATGATGGATTTACTGTCGGAAGCATGTTTGCTGACTGAGTACAAGTTTTAAGTCCTGTTCCTATCAATTGGTAGCCTTCCTTGCAAGTGAACCGACATTCCGTTGCATACGAGAGGCTTTCATTTGTACAGCTCTCTGGTTTGACAACCAAACCTTCTGATTTGATGTTAATCCTAGGACAAGTTATTGCTGCAAAACAGTAATTGAAATAATATCGTGAAATTTTGTTTTCAACAGTTACTGACGGACTTTATCCCAAACTCGTTTGTTTCCAGATGAGCAGGACCTGCCCAACTTGCCTCATATAGTCCTCTCAGAGCCGAGACCTCAGCGCACCCGCAGAATTCAAATTATCTAAAACACCTCATACTAGACTAGCGTGTTTACCACAGTTATCGTGAACTGCGAGACTGTTTCTTTATCAAGATGCTTGCTTCAGAGACGCTTTCTCGTCATTGTGTTGTTTATCAAACTA